GGAAAAAAATCCTTTTATCAAAAGGACACTTGCACTAGACTGTTTATTGCAGCTCAATTTACAATCGCCAAAATGTGGAAACAGCCTAAATGCCCCCCAACCCAGGAATGGACTAACAAGTTGTGGTATATGTACACAATGGAATATTTTAATATCAGCCATTAAAAAAATGAAGACTTTATGCCATTACACACTTGTCAAAACACACAAGATGTATGACACCAAGAATAAGCCCTGATGTAAACTATGATGTGTCCACGTATGTTCATCACCTGTCAGAAAGGCCCCCCTCTGATACAGGAGGTCAGTACTAGGGTGAAATGCGCTATATGAGGGGAAGGGTAAGTGGAACCATGGTACTTTCTGCTCAGTGGTGCTGTAAAACTCAAACTAGAATAATGTTTGTTAATTTAAAAAAAAATGAAGACTTTACAGCCTTTGTATTAACCTGGATGGAAGTAGAACACATTATTCTTAGTAAAGCATCACAAGAATGGAGGAGCATAAATTCTATGTACTTAATTTTGATATGAGGACAATTAAAGACATGGTGGGTATGGGGGCTCATATCATCAACAATGATATAGGGGAAGGGGAGAGTAGAGAGAGGGAAGGAGAGAGTGGGGGTGAGGTCTTGGTGTGTGTCACACCTTTTGGGGGCGAGACATGATTGTAAGAGGGACTTTACCTAACAAATGCAACCAGTGTAACCTGGTTTCTTGTACCCTCAATGAATCCCCAACAATTTAAAAAAAAAAAGATTTTGATGCCAGAAGTTTGCCTCTTAATTAAATGGATATGTTATTATTTTATATGTCATATAAATTAATATTTGCATATTTCAAGATATTAATTGTATAGTTAATATGGAATAATATATAACTATAAATAAATTAATGATATATTATGTAAATATAGATTATATACTTCTATAGTAGAAATGATAGAGCAGAATGTCTAACACATAACTGGCGCCCTGTAAACATTCATTGTTCTTTTGTGACCTCTCTATGTGTGCATATGTGTGTTCATATTTCCTCTTCTTTTAAGGGTTAGGACCCACCCTATAAGCCCCATTTTTACTTAATTACTTCTATTTAAAGACATTATATCCAAATACTGTTTCATTCAGGGTGTCAGAGTTTAGGACTTCAACATATGAACTTTAGGGGGACACCATTCAGCTCATACCACTCTGCCTTCTGCACCCCCATGTCTGTGTCCTTCTCACATACATAATTCCTGCACCTCATCTCAGGAACACAAAAGTCTTAACTCATTCCAGTATCAACTCTAATTCTAAAATCTCGTGTAAATATCACCCAACTCTCACCAAGGCATGTGTGAGATATGAGGTATAATTCATTCTGAGGTAAATTGCTCTCTAACAGCTAACCTGTGAGACATGTTACCTATTTTCTAAATACAATTATGGGACCAGCATATGATGGATATTCTCATTCCAAAAGATAGTAAGTTTAAAGAAGAAATAGTTCAGTTATCCAAAACCCAGCAGGGCCAATTCCATTAAATGTTAGGGCTCAAGACTAACATCTTGATTTTGAGACCTTCTTGGTCTCTATCCTCCTGGCCAACTGGAACAGCAGAAGTCCTGACCTGCTCAAGGTCTTTTAATGCTTTAGGAGCATTTAATTATTTTCTTCCTATAATCACCAGCCTAGGTACATTTAAAGTATAGGGTTTTGTAAAAAAAAAAAAAAAAATAGATTCTTGAATTCCCTGCAAATATATTTCCATTTGTCTTGAGCCAAAGGGTAGGGACATGGGTAAGCTTTAATCACAGGAGCCTTACAATGTCTAATAGCAAAATCTCTCCTCTCTCCTTTTTCCAGATGAATCATTCCTTCATTCTTGCTGTTACTAATGACAGTTCTCTACCTTAACTATCCAGTGGAGTAGACCCTGTGTGAACATCCCACTTCCATACTTATTCCCCAGATCAATCACAGCTTGTAGGCCTGGCAGGAGAGGCTAAGAAACTGGGTCAATGATTATAGAATGGGCACTCTCCCATGTCAAATTCAGAAAAGAGAGAATCTAAATTATTTCTCATCACTCAGGTAACCATCCCAGGGTGGGTCAACTTTCTCTGAGGGCCTGCAGTTTACACCAGCACCATGATAAGAGACCTCCTGATGAGGGAACAGGAAAAATTCTCTAGATGATGAGCAATTGCAGTTGATACACTCAAACATTCCTTCATCTCAACTGTTAGCACCTATTGTAAGCACAAGAAAGCCCTCCATGCATTCTGGAACATACTGAAACCAGAACATTTGCTTTTACCTTTTCTCAGAAGTGGGTTTTTGTGAACTATATAAGTATCATCCAGAATGGAGAAATTGGACATCTTGTTTTCTCTCATGGCCTGGAAGGAGCTATTCTTGAGGATTAGGTTGAGTTCTTCTGGCTCTACCTTCTTACCCAGGAATTGACAAATCTTCTCTATATTTCCTTCTGTGTCCTAAAAAAAGGAAAAACAAGGGAGAGGATATGAGAAAGGCAACAGAGAAACTAGGATGAGAAGTAGGATGAAGATCAGGAGGGGGAGAAGAAGAGAGAAACAGGACACAGAAGGGAGAAGTGATGGAGTTGGATGCAACCAGGAGAAAGCAAGAGAAACAGGTAAAGAGGAGAGAGCAGGAAGTGTGTGAAAGATGCCAGGATCCTGATGGGTTTCTCATATGGTTGAGTTACGAGAAATAAAAGACAGGGCCTAGGGTTTCTATGGAGACTTTGAGAAGGGCTCCTAGACAATGGTTAGGATTAAGCCAGGGGAATTTCAGGGAGAACTTGACAAAGATTTGAGAAATTGATTTCAAGTCCTGGCTGTGCCATGATACAATACTGTCCCACATAACTCACATTTGAATAACATATAGAGTTTTCCAAGATCTTATATATCAATAATTAGTACCTGGGACAGAATCCTGGGAGATTATGGTAGGAAAATAGCTTTTTATACTAGAAAGATTTTCCTTTGAATCATAAACCTTGCTCTTAGAACTAAAATGTTTTAATTTTTTTTTTTTTATTTCATGAGCCCCATTTGTTGTTTAACAAGAGGCCACACACAACTGCGGAAATGGTTAAAGTTGAAGTTCAGTGTGAGAGTTGAAAAGAAAGTTACAAGAAGGTATGGAATCATGGGCCTGGGGTAGTTAAACATGTTAAGAAAGGCTTCCAGATTAAAATGGATTCATGCTGAGGCCTTTGGGGAGTGGACAGAGGTGGACAGAGGTGAGCAGAGGAAAGTGATGGGAGGTAATATTTCTCAGGTGGAAGCAACATCCAGTATTTATGTCAGTTTCTCTTTCTCAAGGATTCCACTAACAAGTCAGGTTGTTTCTACAATGGTCTCCTCACCATTACTGGTCCTGAGCATCACCTGACAGCTTATCCTGTCCCTCAGCAGCCCTGCCAGTCCTTGGCATCCCAGCACACTCACACAGGTTAATCTCATCCCTTCATTTCTCTTCTTACACATTAAGCTGCTACCTCAGACAGTTGGACACATCTCTGGAACTGAACTGTAACCACCCAGTTATGTCCCTTCCCCAGGACCTCATTACTGGGTCATTAGCAGCACCATATGTCCTGCCCACAAATGTTTTCATAACTACCAGTAGGAACATAAGCCATGGTACTCTGTCTGAATGCATGTGAAAACGCTTTAGCTGTTGTAAGATAAAGAACACAGAAAAAAAAAAAAGCATGAATCATAGGAAAATGTAACCAGAGGTAGAGCAACGAAGACTAGAGAGTTAATCCCACTCTTAGTGACTCTTCTCAAGGCTAAATTTTGAGAAGGAGTAATGGAGACACAAAGAAATGGAGGGACATCAGAGGAAGTGAAGATGGTGGTGAGAGGATGTGCACCTACTACTGTAATGACAGTTACCCGTTTCAGCTCTTCATAACTCAGCATCAGGAAGTTCTCCCTCTCTCTCATGGACATCCAGGCACGAACGTGGTCAAACCATGACCCATATGGCACTGCATGGGTGGGGGGGCGGGACAGAAAGAGAGACAGGTTAATCTAATGTATTAGGTTCACTCCCCCACTATTAAGATTGATAGAAAATTATATTTAGGTGTAGAATGCAATTTTTTGATATATGTATACATTATGCAGTTATGAAACGGAGCTCGTTAACATATTCATTACCTCACATATGTACCATTTTTGTGATAGTTAGAATACTTTTAGCAATTTTCCCCACATGTATAATGTATTATTAACTATAGTTAACAAGCTCTATTATAGCTCTCCAGAACTTATTTATCTTGTCTAACTGAAACTTTGTACCTTTTGACCAACGTCTCCCTAATCCCCTGCCCCAAATGTATATATTTGTGTATATTAAAATATGTATGTATATGTATTGGCATACAAATATACATATGTATTTCAATATATACAAAGAACCTTGATACACACAAGGAGCTCCCATGATCACAATTCTTAGCTTCAACCATTATTGGTGGGCTTTTATTATTTTTTATAGCAAGAGGGTTTTATGTCTATAAACTATGTAATATATAGTTTTATATATAACATATAAAGAAGAGCTGTCAGCACTCCCATGTTCCTTGTAGACTCTTCACAATAGCTAAGATATGGATTCAACCTGAATGTCTATTAAAAAATAAGTGGATAAATGAAGTGTATATATATATATGTTTATATATTGTGTGTATATACAGAGGGTGCCAAAAAATGTATACAGATTTTAAAACAGTATACATTTTAATACTGGAAAGACCTGTATTAAAACGGTAATACTCAATATATTCCAATAACAAAAAATGAATACAAGTCATGTTTTACTCTTGGAAAGAATGTATATAATATAATACATGATAAATAGATAACATCTCTTATTATGCATATATTTTCTTTTGGCCCTCCTGGTATATAAAGACAGACAATTAAGTTCATGAACTAATCCTACAAAAAGTGCTACATACTTCATTGCTGAATATCTACATGGTCACCTACAAAAAACACCCCTGGACCATCTGGTGTCCACAGTGATATTCAGCAATGAGGTATGCAGCATTTTTTTGTAGGATGAATTTGCAAACTTAGTTGTCAGAGCTTGTATATGTAGTTGTTTCTTGATATCGGAACAAACACATGATACATATATAATCTATCCTGCCATATTATATTTTTGACATTACAGTTTACATCTAATTATATTGATTAACAAATTATTGTAGTTAGTCATTGAACCATGATACTAAAGATATAAATTATTTACCCACCACCATTATAAAAAAGTGTTCTGAATTGGACAGCATACTTAACTTTACTAGTGAGTTTTATACTTTCATATGCTGTTTTAGTACTAATTAACATCTTTTTCTTTCAGCTTGAAGAATTTCATTTATTTATTTATTTATTTTGGAGACAGAGTCTCCCTCTGTCACCAGGCTAAAGTGCAGTGGTGTCATCATAACTCACTGCAACACCAAACTCCTGGGCACAAGTGATTCTCCTGCCTCAACCTTCCAAGTAGCTGAGAAACTACAGGCACACCCCACTGTAGAGATGGGTTATCTCTCTATCGCTTAGGCTGGTCTTGAACTTCTGGCCTCAAGCGGTTGTTCTCCTTCAGCCTCCCAGAATGCTAGAATTACATGCATGAGCCACTACATTTGCTTTGTTATTTCTTATCAGTCAGGTGTAGTGGTGTTGAACTCCCTCAGGTTTGATTTCTCTGGGAAAGTCTTCACCTCTTCTTCATTTCTGAAAGGCAGTTTTTTCAGGTAAAATATTCTTGATTGACAATGTTTTATTTTTACTTCAGCATGATATCATCTCACTCTCTCTTTTTGCTAGTAAAGTTCTTGCTGAGAAATCTGCTACTAGTTTTTGGAACTCCTATATGTGTAATATGCTTCTTTTCTCTTGCTGCCTGCAGGATTCTCTCTTCGTCTTTGATTTTTGATAGTTTGAGTATAATATGTCATGGTGCATTCTTGTTTAGATTAAATCTGATTAGAGACCTTTAAAATTCCTGAACTTGGATATTTATATCTTTCCCCAGACTGGAAAATTTTTCTGCTTTTATTTTAGTAAGTTTTATGATTTTTGTCTCTCTCTTCTTCTTCAGCTCCTGCTATTAGAATATATTTCTTTTGGTGCTGCCTCATACGTTCTGTAAGCTTTCCTCATTTCTTTTCTTTCATTTTCTTTTTCTCCTTTGATCATCTTCAAATTCACAGGTTATTTCTTCTGCTTGATCATTTAAGCTGCTGATGCTCTCTATTTCATTTTTATGTTTTCATTGCATTTTAACCTCCAAAATTTCTTTTCTTTTAAAAAATAATTTCAGTCTCTCTAATTAAATATCTTGCTTTAGTCATTTATTGTCTTCTTGTTTTGCTGAATTTTCTGGGCTTTCTTTTCCCCTTGGAATTCACTGAACTTACTTAAAACAATTATTTTGAATTCTTTATCAGGATTTCATACCTCTGCATTTGTTCAGAGTCAGTTGTTCATGCTTTGTTCCTTGGTGATCTCATATTTCCTGATTGTTCTTGTTCCCTGTGGCAGTGCGTTGGTGTCTGCACATTTGAAGATACAGGGCCATATTCCTGTCTTGCACATGAGCATTGTCTGGGGAAGCCTTTTGCTACTCAACCCTTCCAGATATTCTTGGAAAGATCTCTGCTGAAGTGTATCAGCCCATTTTATTTATAACTTTGTATGTGCAGTGTTAGTAGAAACATGGGAAGAAGAAAGGAGCAGTCTTCAGTGACTCCTGCAGAGGGTAATTGTGAGTCATTCTTTTGATTCTTCCTTTGGCCACACCTAGCTGAGTGGTGCCTATAGTCTGCCTTGGGAAGTGGACCACACGGGCCCTGGAAGTATGCCTGGAGTCTTTTCCATGAGGGATTCCATGGCTCAAGGTTCCCATAGCATAGGTAATGAGAAGGTTAAAAGATCCAGGTAAGCAAGTGTCCTTGTCTCCACAGACTCCTTACTTTGTTGGAGTAGGAAATACCTTGAGAACAGGGCATCCCTGAGGCCTTGTTATCATGTTTGATCCAAAGTTCTGCTATAAGGACCAGGGTCCAGAGCAGGAACCCATGTTCTTTGGGTCTAAGGATAGTATATCCTGGAAGTTAAATTCCACAGGTTTCTATATCTACACAGGAAAAAGGATTTGGTTTACTCCTCTCCATGTTTATAGACAACTCAAAATATTTGTTAGTTAATAACAATAAAGGTTTTGATATTGGTGGTTCTTGACTGGATAAAAAAGGAAAAGGCCTATGTATGGATTTGAAAACATAGAAAGGCAAGATATGGGGATTCATCTTCATGACTCATCACTATGTATGAGACTTTATAAGAGTCCTGGTAGCAGCTGAGGCATAATCTGTATTTATATGCCAAATAGCAAGGTCCAACATAGCAGTGAGCCTGGAAGTGTTCTCTTTATGTCTGAATTTCCATTATGTGTTTCACTGATGATTTTTTTTCTGAAAAAGTAGCCTTTAGCAAAGTAGGCTACATGTCTGCAGAGTTCAGCTAGGATCCACAGCAAATACAAGTGCCAGGCTTTGAAAACTAGGCTTTATGCTGGAAACAAACAATCCAGGGATAGTTGTAAAAAGAAAATGAATTTTTCAATGTATGATCAATTATTGCAATATAGCCTAGAAGGGTCAAAGAGTTTGCAGGTAAGGATACCAATAATGTGTTGTTATGTTAATCTAGGCAAGAAGTAACAGTGGCTCTGCTTAATAAAGTTCCAATAGAACCAGCAATAAATGGTTATTAATTATCTTTAAAAGGTATGTGGAATGCTTAGTATGTAGTAAGCATCATTCTAGGACCCAGGGTCTAACACTAAACAACTCAAGAGTTTACATTTTAGGGTGGAGACATATGAAATAAATAAATAAATAGATACATACATACATACCTGTTGGGAATGAATATTATGAAGAAAGAAAGGCTCAAGTGATGGGGAGGGTTGCTGTTTTATATAGTGTCACAGTTCTAGGATTTCCTGAATACAGCAAGATCATATCACAGAGTAGAATCAATACATTAATCAAGGTGGTGGGACCTTATTATTAATTAGAAAAATAAAAGTGATGAGGGGCACGGGGGAGTGGGATGGGAAAAGGAAGATGCGTGTGAAATGTCAGAATAATACCAGCCCTTGGGTGAGGAAAGGGGTGTATCTACTTATCAGGTGAGATCAACATGCAGTAAAAGGGATCTGGAGAGTAAGAGAGATGCCCTTAATAGTGTACAGGTTGAATCCGAGGCATCTATGGCTCTCTCCAGGCTGCTAGAGCTCTGGAGACAGATCACAGTCTGGACTCAGACAGAACTCAGCATGTAGCTTTGAGAAAAATCCCCAAATTGAAAGTATTTAAGAAACCCCGAGATTCTGCATAATTAAAAGTACAGAGTCACGCAAACATTTTTGAGGTCAACAGAAATAGAGGATTAAGGGAGTTTTGAAAAGAGGCATTTTTGGAAAAAAAAGAAAAAAGAAACGGTAGTAGTCCATGTTACTACTAGAGATGTTAGGGACTCAGAAAATAGTGTGGACAGGTTATCGGGGACAAGCTGAGAGGCTGACTAGAGTATGCTACGTAGGAGACGAGGTGGACTTTGCAGATTTGGGTTCCACCGGTGACAGAGTCTTGTACCCCTGGCCGGTGAGATATAGATACAAGGTGGGTGTCAAGTAAGGTCTGAAAACAGACTCCGCGCGCCCCCTAGCGTCCATATTTCACAGTACACTCACCATTTCCTTCCAGGAACCATTCAAGATACTGTTCCATTGACTTTGGTTTCTTAACAAAATGCACTGAATTCCAGAAAAAGTAACCAGATACAATAATATCTTTGGGATTTCTGATGACATAAATCACCTTAAAGGGAAAAATGTGACAATGAAGAGCCAATATATTAATTTCTTCCACTCCTTTTGTTATTCATAAAAATAAACAGCCCATTCTTAGAATATGTGTATTGAATATCAGTGAAATATTTTAATAAATTACTTAGTGCATTCATTAATCAAACATAAAATTTAAAGTTCCTGTGAAGTAGCCACTGTTCCAGGATTATAACAATGGGAGAGGAAAGCATCATTCTCCCTCCCCTTCTGAGGTATATTAGTCTACTCACAATGGGAAGCAACTGGAGGGTTTTAAAATGTCAGTGGTATTGTATTTGTGTAGATAGTGTAAAGATCACTAACAGGACAATGGATTAATACTTTATGGTGCATTCATAGATTTAAGTATAAATTCATATGTACACCCAAGACCAGATGAATCTCACTGACATCATATTGAGTGAAGGAAGCCAGGTATCTATTGTTCTATAGCATAGCTCTATTTGTATCAAGTTCAAGAACAAACAAAACTAAGCTGTGAGTTTAAGGCAGGGAATGCTTACCTCTGTGTGTGGGCATTGATCGGGAAGGAATGTGAGGGAGTGGAAATGGAAACATTTTGAATTTGGACATAGGTGAGGGTTACCCAGTGTATATATATGTAAATACTCATCAAGCTAATCCTTAAGATCATTACAATGCACACACACACACACACACACACACACATCCCTACTCTCATACACAAGGAAGATTACTTGGCATTTGAGCATATAAATTTTCCTTTGGATTCTGCGCTCACTCTCCTTGTGCCTTTATTTTAGTCCTTGTCTCAATCTAGTCTTCAGTCTCCCTTACACAAGGATTTACCAAACACTATAAAACACATGTAAGTAGGTGCATTGTAACAAATTTACTGTGCTGCTGCACAATACAAAATTTCAAAAAGGGGAGATTATTATGCTAAGTCTCTCAATTTACTTTAAGCAAAAAACATTTTTAAAAAATTCACAGACCAATAAACAGCTTCTAGGACAGCATGTTTTTTGATTCACTTTTTTTTTTCTTGTCGATTTTCTTTTCTCTTTTTTTTTTCCTGTCTTTTTTTTCTTATAAGTACATTTCTAATAATGACATTTTAATTTGACATTTGACATTTCTAATTTGACATTTTTTAGATCCAGGATAAGGATTGTCCCTTCTGGTGATCACTGCTAAGCCACAGAAGAGATCCTCCCTTCTTATCTTCTCCCTTTTTACTAATTTTATATTTCCTAGGAAGGCATGTTTCTGATATATATGAGATCCTAGATAACAGTTGTCCCTTCTGGTGATCACTGTTCAGCCACTGGGGAGATCTGCACAGCTGCTCACCTCCATACACAACTACACACAGTAAGACACAGAGGTTAGAAAAACTATCCAGGACACCAGGGCAATCACCCTGGATTTTAGCATTGATTTACAAATTGCTGCTTCCCATATGAACAATTCTGTTTCACTTAACTGCATTAAGATTGGCTCACTGCATTTTCAGAACAACAAAAGGGGGCTTATCTAGCATATAATACAGCTAGAAATTCTAGCTGGACTTAAAGTATTTTTAAGATTCTAACATTATTGTGTCACTGTTTTCTGGCTTTATATGGATGGCATAGTATAGGGAATGGTTCATCCCCTTGCACTCAACTATGGTACCTAGAACAGCCACATTGGCCTCACATAAAGCACAATTTCATACACCATAAACTAGCAAGTAACAATGAATTTCAACAAGGTCTCCATGAGATTTACAAGCACATTAACATTTGAAAAGCATTGTTGATAGATGCCTTGATCATTATGCACCGACCTTGGCCTTGGAACTGAAGAAAGACTTGGGGAAGAGATGGATGGGGAGGTGGGAGCTGAGCAAGCGTGGGCCCTCCCTGTCATTTGCAAAAGCAAACCCAGGCTCAGACTCTATCCAGGGTGAGCGTTCCCAGATGGGCACAGACTGGATCCACTTGGTATCCCCCTTGGAGTAAATCAGGCAGAGGATCTCAATCAACCAGTTTGTTCCTGGATAAAGAGAGGAAAGTGATGGTCACTCATTTCAATCTGATTCTAAAAACAAATTATGCTAAAATACACATAACATAAAATGTGCCATTTTAAAGCATACAGTTTAGTAATTAAGTGTGTTCATCTTGATGCTCAAACAACTGCTGTAACTTTTGAATCTTGCAAAACTGAAACTCTATACATATTAAACAATAATTCCTTATTCCCTTCTTCCTCCACCCAGTGGCAATGATCTTTGTACTTTCCCCTCTGTGACCTTGACTATTCTAGATCCCTTATGTAGGAAGAACCATATAGTGTGTGCATTTTTTGTGACTGGCTTATTCCATTTAGACCAATGTACTCAGGGCTTATCCCTGCTCTAGCATGCATCAGCATTTCCTTCCTATTAAAGGATGAATCCTATTCCATTGTATCTGTCACAGTTTGTTTATTCCTCATCTGTCAATGGGTGTGTTTGAGTTGCTGCCACTTTTTGGCCATTTGCTGAAGTCTTGAATAAGTTTCCATTGCTCTTGGATTTTCAGGGCCCTGCTACTTGAAGTGCTTTTGCCCTTGATCTGCCCAATTTGCAGACTCTTGCCCTCCAGGCCCATGCCCATAGAAATTTGGGATACATCTCTCAGTCCCTTGGCTTTGTTAGGCCCTAACCGATTCCTGACCATCACCCATGATGATTCTTCTATGTGAAAATATTCCTTTTCACCAAGTAATTTCCCTTTCATTCTTTCCATTTCAATTTAGATTCTGTTTCATCTATTAGGACTTCAAGATCATCCTTCTGCCAGCTGATACACCAGAATCAGCCTTAGGATTCACTCCTCTGGGTTCTCCTAATACTATAGATTATCCCTTCTGAACACTCATGGTACTGTGTAATTCCCTGACTGAATCCTTTTCCATGTATGTACATGGGCACTAGGCCTTCTCTACCCCCCTGAAAATATTGCCCATTGTCTGGCATATAGAAAGTGTTCCAATCAGGATCAGATTCAGATTCAGTGGCTCAAGCCTGTCATCCAAGCACTTTGGGAAGCTGAGATGGGAGGATAGATTTTGAGGCCAGTGTTGAAGACCAGCCTAAGCACTATAGTGAGATGTCATCTGTAAAAAAATTAAAAAAAGACATTAATTTGGATTGGTGGCACATGCCTGTAGTTCCAGATTCTTGGAAGAATCTTATAAGCCCAGGATTTTCAGGCTGCAGGAAGCTATGACTGGGCCATAGCATTCCAGCTGGGTAATGGAATGAGAACCTGTCTCACAGAGAAAAAAAAGGAAAAGAGGAAAAAAGCATTCCAACTGTCTACTAAATGAATATGGACCCAACCACAGAATTTCTCAGCTCAGGATTCTGTTTCCTTACCTGATTTGGGAAAAGTGATTATTAATACATCTTCATCCTTTATCACAAACTCTTCCTGCACTTTCCTTAGGATCTCAGGGTTATAATCCTTCTTCGGGAAAGGGATGCCTTCATACCATAAGTTGTCTGACATGATGATCTGGTCCTCAGGCTCCCTGTTAGGGTTTCAGCTGCAGACACTGCTGGACACTGTGGCAGCTGCAGGCAGATTAGGTTTTATAGTAAACAGATAACAATCTTTGATCTCCGCCCAGTGTGCTGTGAAGTTTGCTGGCTGATAAGGAGAAGTGAGTGTTATGCCAAATAGTCAAAAAGATAAATCATACTGGGAAATTGTGAACTCAGAAAACATTCTGAAGGGAATGTGAGTTTGAAATCATAGGAGTGAACTGGAAATTCACTAGCAAATGCAAGCACATAGAAATGTGTACATTTTAAAAACATTTTTAATAAATGTTTTTAATAACAGTTTTAGATTTAGAGAAAAATTAAAAAGAGTACAGAAGATTCCCATAGACCATACCTCACTCAGATTTCCTGAACTTTTACCTGATGTTCTTTTCCTCCTCCAAAATCCCATTAAGAAAGTCAGATGACATGTAATTGCCAAGTCTCTTTCGGCTCCTCTTAGCTGTGACTGTTTCCCAGACTTTGTTTTTAATACTCCTGACAATTTTGAGGATTATGATCAGATATTTTGTAGAATGCCCCTCCAGTGGAATTTTTTGCAATTTTTTTTCTTCATAATTAGATTGGGTTCATGGAGAGAAAGGTCATAGAAACAAATACCATCATCATCGGAAAATATCAAGGGTACTTACTGTCGACATGGCCCAGCCCTGAAGACGTTAACCTTGGTCATCTGATGTCACGTTTCAGATTTCTCCACTGTAATTTTCCTTTTCCCTGCCTCCCTTTCTTTGTGGGCCTGCCTTAAACATAAATTCTAGACTTAAATACAGTCATAAAATCACATTGTATAAACCACAACCCAGAAACATTCTGTAAAATACTAAGCCTATCCTCTTTAAATTGTCACATTGTTATGAAAACAAAGAAAACCCAGCACACTTGTCACACTAAAGGAACATGCTAGGTAAGTATTGTGTGAAAGACTCCTGGACCACGCGTGCACACCATGCTGCAATTATATCAATAGAACCATTGACCAAATTTCACTATGCAATACAGATTTAGATAATATTGAATAATACTGTATCACTGTCAGATTCCCTGATTTCTGTAATTTTACTGTGGACATATACCATGTATCCTTATTTTTAGAAAATATACATTGAAGTTTTGAGGGATAAAAGAGAATAATCAGCCAGGCACAGTGGCTCATGCCTGTAATCCTAGCATTCTGGGATGCTGAGGAAGGATTATTTGAGGTCAAAAGTTCAAGACAAGCCTGAGAAACAGTGAGCCCTCATCCCTACAAAAAAATAGGAAAAATTAGCCTGGCACAGTAGTGTGTATCTATGATCTCAGGCTCTTAGGAGGCTGAAGCAGGAGAATCACCTGAGTCCAGGAGTTTGAGATCGCTGTGAGCTGTGATGACTCCACTCTTGCCTAAGTAACAAAGTGGGACTCCGTTTAAAAAAGAATAATAAAAAACCATCCACTTCAACAACTGAGACAGTGAAACTGTATATGTACATGCGAAAGAATAAAGCTGGACACTCACTCTAGAACATATATAATAATTAATTAAAAATGAATCAAATACATCAAGTATCATAAAACTCTCAGAATAAAAGATATGGGATATGGATAAATGCCCATGACCTTATATTTGGCAATAGTTTCTTTGCTATGATATCAGTTCACAAGCCACTGAAGAAGAAAAAATAAGTGAATTAGACTGTGGTGCAGTGAAAACCTTTTGTGCTTCAGGGAACACTACCAAGACAGCGAGGAATAAAAGAACCCTATAGAATAGCAGAAAATATTTACCAATTATATATCTGAACAATAAAGAACTCTTACACATCAGCAATAAAAGATCACTTAAAAAATGGGCCCAAAATTAAGTAGACATTTCTTCAAAGAAGATAAGCAAATAGCCAACAAGTGCAGGAAAAGAGGCTCAGGGTTATTAGTCATTAGAGAAATGCAAATCAAAAGTACTTCCTGCCCACCAGGGTAGCTGGAGAACATTGCCCCAACCAATTGAACTGAATTTGTCTTTCAAGAATACCAAAGAGCAATATAATACACATTTTTTTCAAGTACACTGGTTTAGTCACCAAGACAGGCCAAATGTTTGGCCATCAGACAAGGCTCAATAAATGTCAAAAAAATGGAAATAATATAAATGATTTATTCTCTTATAATAATATTAAATTATAAACCAACAAACAGAAGGTATCTATAAATCTTTAAATACTTTTAAATCAAACAAAAAATATTTGAATAATCCATGGGTCAACAAGTACTGATATCCTTCTCCATCTTTGTAATTGTAAGCTCCATTGTGACACCAAAGTAAATTCTATGTACCAAGAAATAGCACAGTGTCCTGCCTTTTCTCTCCTGTTAGTTTACTGAAAAACAAGCAGATAACTCTGCCTTTATATCCAAAAGATCCAGGATTTTGAGATTGTCCTATTGTGTCCTCCAAAAATGGTATGTTAAAGTCCTAACCCCTAGTACTTTACAATGTTGCCTTATGTGAAAATAGACTCCATTTAGAGTCTGTAGAGTTTTCTAAATACAAGATCACATGGTCAGCAAACAGGATAGTCTGACCTCCTCTTTTCTGATTTGAATACACTTGCCTGATTGCTCTGGCTAGGAATTCTTGTACTATGTTGAGTAGAAGCGGTGACAGTGGGCACCTTTGTCTTGTCCCAGTTCTTAGGGGGAATGTTTTCAACTTTTCTCCTTTCAGTATGATGTTGGCTGTGGGTTTGTTATTTATGGCTTTTATAATTTTGATGTATGTTCTTTCTATGCCTAGTTTGTTGAGTGTTTTTGTATGAAAGGGTGCTGGATTTTAAGGAATGTTTTTTCTGTTTCTATTTAAATGACCATAAGGTGTTTATTTTGCTTCTGTTTGTGTCATAAATCACATTTATTTCCATATATTAAGATATCCTTGTATTCTTAGGTTAAAACTCCCTTGACTGTACTGAATTATCATTTAGATGAGCTGTTGTATATATTTGCTAGAGTCTGTTGAGGATTTTTGCATCTATGTTCATCAGGGATATTGGTCTGCAGTTTTCTTGGTTTGCTGTGTCCTTTCCTGGTGTGCACCTGGGCTTGCTGGGTGCACACAGGAGAGGGCTGGGTAGGATGAGGATGGTCACCCAACATTCAAGTGGAAGGAAAAGAAGAAAAAATGGAGGTAACATTATATTTGTTTCCAATAGCATAGTTTAAGTTAAAACCAAACAATTTGAGAAAGGATTTGGAACCATGGCCAGTGGAAGTTTAATTGGGAACAACCCCTCTGGAAAATGCTCCAGTAGCATCTCCTAAATCTTCATGTCCACAAATCTGATGATCCAGCATTTCCAGTCCTGGGTGTATCTATATCCAACAGAAATGTCCACTAAGAGATATACAAACAAGACATGATGACAGGTGATTAACAATTATAACCCCTAATCAGAAATGTCCCAAATTCAACAATATAATAGGTAAAATAAACTTCGGTGAATTGACTCAAGAAATAATGCACGTGAGTATCAATCTCATGAACATAATGATGAATAAAGGAAGCCAGACACAAAAATGTTGTTATTGAATTTAGAAAGAGTACAAATATAAGGGAACCTTGATAAGAAACTTTCTGTCCTCCAGACTGTACAATGTAGCGTGTCTACCAGCATCCCACAGGAGACTCTGTTGTGTTCACCCCAACCATAACTAGGTTATATAAGCAGCTTTTCTTTTAGTCATTCTAATAGGTATCTACTGGTGTCTTATTGTTATTTTAATTTATATTTCCCTAAGGACCAATGATGCTAAACATATTTATATGTGCTTTTCTGCCATCCCTAATCCAATTTGGCCTAGTATTTGTTGAAGTTTTTTCTTTTTTTTTTCTTTTTTTTTATTTCTTATAGCATAACTGTGTACATTAATGCAATCATGGAGTACAGTGTGCTGTTTTCATATACATTTTGAAATAGTCTCATCAAACTGGTTAAGATAACCTTCATGTCATTTTCTTAGTTAATGAGTTAAAACATTCATACTCTGCTTTTAGAAAGATTCACTTGTACCCTTGTAAGATAAACCATAGAGGTGACCCCATCAATCTACCTCCCTCCCCACATCTGTCCCCCCTCACCTCCCCCTCCCACCCCCTTCCCATATTCTAAGGTTATAATTAGGCTATGACATTCCTATAAAAGCTATGAATTAATTTCAAAATAGGGCTGTGTACATTGGATACTTTTTCTTCCATTCTTGAGATACTTTGCTAAGAAGAATATTTTCCAATTCCATCCATATAAACATGAAGGAGGTAAAGTCTCCATCCTTCTTTAGGGCTGCATAGTACTCCATGGTGTACATGTACCACAATTTATTGACCGATTCATGGGTCGATGGGCATTTGGGTTTCTTCCAAATGACCTAGAAATTATGAATTGGGCTGCAATAAACATTCTGATACAAATATCTTTGTTGTAATTCGATTTTTGGTCTTCTGGATATATATCTAATAAAGGAATTGGAGGATCAAATGGCAGGTCTATTTTTAGCTCTCTCAGTGTTCTCCAGATGTTTTTCCAAAAGGGATGAATTAATTTGCATTCCCACCAGCAGTGTAGCAGTGTTCCCTTTTCTCCACATCCACACCAACATCACTGGTTTTGGGATTTTGAGATATGGGCTAATCTTACTGGGGTTAGGTGGTACCTCAAAGTGGTTTTGATTTGCATTTCTCTAATGATTAAGGATGGAGAAGATTTTTTCATATATCTGTAGGCCATGTGCCTATCTTCTTTAGAGAAATTTCTATTCAAGTCCCTTGCCCACCCTCAGATGGGATCACTTGTTTTTTTCTTGCTAATACGTTTGAGTTTGAGTTCTCCATGGATTCTGGTTATTAAACCTTTGTCAGAGACATAACCAGCAAATATCCTCTCATATTCTGAGGGCTGTCTATTGGCTTTATTTACCATGTTCTTGGCTG